TTATGGGAGTCTTTTGAGGCTTGGGAAGCCTCAAAAGACTCCCAGAAGCTGGCGATTTCACCCCCTGTCCCCGTGGGGGTGGGTGGGGGAGCATCACAAGGGTCCGGGTGAGCCTTCCAGGACCCTTGCCACGCTCCCCCCCACGGATCCAGGGCCGGACTCCCAGAAGCTGGCGATTTCACCCCCCTGGTCCCGTGGGGGGGGGGAAGAGCATTGCAAGGGTCCGAGTGAGCCTTCCAGGACCCTTGCAACACTCCCCCATCCCCCGCACCGGGCGAGTGCTGGCAAAATCGCCAGCTTCTGGGAGTCTTCTCAAGCCTCAAAAGACTCCCAGAAGATGGTGATTTCGCCAGCACTGGCCCCGTGCCGGGGTGGGGGCAGGGTGAGCCTCCAAAGGGTCCTAGGGTTTGTTCCATAAGATGGACCTCTCCATAAGGCTCACCAATTTTTAGGATAAGAAAACAGATTATTTTTTCCTGTTTTCTCCTAAAAATTTGGTGCATCTTGTGGAGTGAAAAATACGGTAACCATTTTAGTCTAGCTAAACTACTTCTTTGCACCTCAGCTTATGTAAAAGGTACTGTGTTTCTCAATACTTAACCATGCTTACCTCGTATAGGGCCCAATGCTGCGTCTTTTGCTAATGCTGTCAAGTCACTCCCTGAATATCCCTCTGTCATTCTTCATAAAAAGCAAAAGTAAACACACTTAATTTCAGGAATGTGTAGTTGCCTTACAGGAAGTTAATTAAGTTTACAAATGTTTTAGTCTTATTGGTGCATTTTTATTTTTGTAAGCCACTAATCTTATAAATATTTTCAATGAATTTTTAATTTAAATTTTATCAGTTCTAAATTAAATAATTTAAACAGTAATAATAATTAATATTCAGCTGTAAAATGCAGTAGTATTATGCACTCTGGGGGGGAAAGAGGGAGGGACATCAGTTACTGATGTTTATATCAAAGGATAGGAAGTGAATCCGTATGTGACGGACTGAAGAGCAACTGCTTTTAGAATTCCTTCTGATGAGCAACAGAGTTAGTGTTAGCAATAAGACAGAAAGTTACTCACCTAGCCAGCTGTGCCAACTCTTTTTGGGTTAATGGATTTCCTTGCTTACTTAAAAGATTCTTTAGCAAAAGTAGTCGTGTCTGTAAAACACAATGTTCAACTGTTTGTGAGTGCACAAAGTAGCAGTATTACATAAAATATACTTGAATAAAAAGCTTACATCCAGCAGAGTTTTGGCACTGCAAAGCCATCATGAAAGATCATGCTTCTCTTTATTTCCCACGACAGCCCCTGAATGCCTGAAAACCATAGTTTCCCAGCCACCCAGAGCAGGTTTTTGGGGGACAAGAGGAGATTGTACATTGAGGATCCATATTTGTAAAAATTATGTGAGCAATTTCAGTCTATACAGTGGTGCCTCGCATAACGAGCGCACCGTTTAATGACGAATTCGCATAGCGATCCCTTTTTTGGGGTCACTAATGCGATCGCATACCGATGGTTCCAATGGGCAAAACTCACATTGTGACGATTGGTAAGCCTTTCGCTTACCGATCTTCACATTGCGATGTCGGGGAATCAGCTGTTCGGCAGTTCCAAAATGGCCGGCGGAACACCCAAAATGGCCGCCCGCATTGTTTTCGCGCCCTGCCCTCGCTTACCGAGGGCGCGAAAATGGCGGCGCTATGGGGAAACTTCGCACAACGGTGAGTTTTAGAGCCATAGGAACGCATTAAACTACGTTTAATGCGTTTCTATGGCGTTTTCTGTTCCGTATAGCGATGTTTCCCCATAGCGATGGTTAATCCGGAATGGATTAACCTCGCTATGCGGGGCACCACTGTAGTTCATTATCTCTAATATGCAACCCCAATGCACTAGCGGAAAGGCATTACCTTATGTGAAAACATTGTTACAAGTTACATACCTCTTCATTTGGTAAAGAAACATAGACACGTTTGGTAAATCGCCTGAAAAACATAGATATGGATACAGATGTGTAGTTCAGAGAGTAGAACATGATAAAACCTATCTTTCTCCTACCACATCAAAGTTTAACAAACATCAAACCACACTTGGGTAAGAAGAACAAAACAGCAGGTGTAATCAGAGATTTCTAAAGACAGCACTATCTATCTATCTATCTAATTAATTAATTAATTAATTAATTAATTAATTAATTAATTAATTAATTAATTAATTAATTAATTAATTAATTAATTAATTAATTAATTAATTAATTAATTAATTAATTAATTAATTAATTAATTAATTAATTAATTAATTAATTAATTAATTAATTAATTAATTAATTAATTAATTAATTAATTAATTAATTAATTAATTAATTAATTAATTAATTAATTAATTAATTAATTAATTAATTAATTAATTAATTAATTAATTAATTAATTAATTAATTAATTAATTAATTAATTAATTAATTAATTAATTAATTAGATAGATAGATAGATAGATAGATAGATAGATAGATAGATAGATAGATAGATAGACAGACAGACAGACAGACAGACAGACAATACAGACATGCTGGCTAAAATCATGTTGTTTAGCATAATTGAACCAATAGGGATTTGGTGATATAATTTCTCTGTAAGTTTCACTGATTATAAAATGGGTCTTTTCTATTGTGATATGGTAAGCAACAGAATTTTGGCCACTGTGTGTTTAAGAATATTTTTAAACTATCACATACAGCACATATCTTAGATAAAATACATCAGCTACAAAATTATAAAATGGTATAAAAATCTTATTAAAAACTGATGCTTACGAAAACTATGAATTTACAGTTCTTTTCAGTGAAGCTAATACAACTTTTGCTTTTTAAAAATAAAGAAAAGTTTGTTCAGCTTGCCATTTGCAGAAAGCTCTTTTAGCAAATTTAATATATCACATCTCTAGAGCCAAACATCAGGACATATACATACAAAATAAATATGCCTAAGCAGGAAGTTCAGTGAAACAAGACTGACCTGCAGCTTCTCCAGTCCTTTTTATTACCGTGTTTTTTCCATGTCTAACACCCTCATGTATAAGACACCCCCCTCACTTTTCTAACCCAAAATTAAGAATCTTAGGTTTGAGTATTCAGCATCTGGGCTCAGACATTAAGAGTCCCTGTTGCATCTGAGCACTGCCTACATGCTCCACCTCCAACAAAGTGTGTTCCAATTGGTTTATTCAGCATCAGCTGACGTCAGTTACATAAGGTTTGTGATTGGAGGAAGCTAAGTCTCCTGACTGTAGGAAGGTAAGTCTTGTGATTGGAGGCAGTCTGTTTGCAGAGGCAAGGTATGGGCCATTTTATTCTCTCCTCAACTTACTTCCATGTATAAGACGACCCTCAAATTTTAGTCTAAAGATTTTAGACAAAAGTATCATCCTATACACAGAAAACTATGGTATATAGCTTCAATTGTTTTCCCAAGCTCCAATCCTTCCCAAGTTTGTTTTCTGCCCACAGCAGCTCCCAGTGTAGAACTTTCCACCCCATTTCACTGCCTTTCCGTACCATCTTAGTTGCAATATAAAGTGTGCTGAATCACCCTAAAATATTCTTCGTGTCTGAAGGACAGCAGCAAATGAAATGGCATAGTCCCCACTAGCAATATTTAACTATTGGAACTATAAATTCTGAGAGTCAAAAAGTATCCAAACCTAGCTTTTCCTTATCACCAGGAGTTGGACCCTAAAATCCTATGAAGAGAATTCTACTCATTAAAATGGCACTCCTTACATCTACTAACAAAGAAAACGAAGAAGGGTTCTGCCCATCCCCTCCCCAATCAACACACACACTCAAAATGTGTTCCAGAAGACTAGGGAGACAATCTGAAACAGTATGGAAAAATTTAGCAAAAGCCATCTCCCATCCTCCTGTTAACAAAAGCTTCCAGTGCATAAAAGGCATATTTGATTCCAGCTCAGTGGCTGAAATCCTGCTGCACAGCTCCACATACATAATGAGAAGATGCAGAAGTGGTAGAAAAAAACACCACAGGGCAAAAGTAATATGTCTGCAGAAGTAGTTAGTGGATATCATGAAACAGTTCCAACATGAGCCAGGCAATCAATTGTGAAACTGTAACAACTGTACAGCTGTGAACTTATGATCATGAACTGCATGATCAATTGCACAACTGTGCCATGAACCATGTGACTGACTGGCTGCTCCTGCACTTCAACAGGATTACAGCCTATGTCTTTTATCTTCTCAATGCAACTACGGTAATTTGTTTTCAATAGCAAAACAAGGAAATACATCATTACCCTGTTTCCTCGAAAATAAGACCTAACCTGAAAATAAGCCCTAGTACTATTTTTCAGGATGCTCGTAATATAAGCCCTAACCCAAATATAAGCCCCAGTTAAGTGAAACCCCACCCTCCACCATTGTGCAGCAACCAGAAGATTACATGACTGTATTTGAAAAAAATGTAGATTGTTGTACACGGAAAAAAAAATCCCCTGAAAATAAGCCCTAATGCATTTTTTTGAGCAAAAATTAATATCAAACCCTGTCTTATTTTCAGGGAAACACGGTATATTCCTACTGAAAGTATTCCACCCAATTATGAAGTATTTTTTTTAGCAATTCCTCTATCTGATTATACATTTATTGTGCAAATATTTTCCTAGTTTTTTAACAAAAGCCATCAAGCTCTAACCAAACACACCTACATTCCTTTTTAAAACAGGTAGGAAGTTTGGAACCATTCAGATATATTTATCATATCCTACCAATACCAGGTATTGTGAGCTGTCAGCTAAAACGAGGATACTCACCTAACTGCCCCCCCCCATAAAACACCGGAACCCGCCACATGTAGTTTTTTTCAAGTTACTTTGTTTAAAAAAAACTGAATGCAAATCTCCAAAATTTACATAACAAATTGCATATGAGTAGCTAATTAAAGTTTAAAATACCTGAGAACAGCATCATCTAGTTCCTGTGGCCTGTTAGTTGCTCCCATTACAAGTATTCGATCTTCTCCTGAAGACTGCACCTAATTTTTCAATAAAGCAAAATTTAAAGACAAAAACTGGAAAATGCTGTGATGTTATATCCCAAAAAGCTTAAAATACCACTGTTGCTGCTGCTTGCTGAACACTGCTTCCATAATTGCATTTCTATAATTACTTCAATACTATATTGCTTTTGTAGTGCAAGAATGAGAGTAACTCCATTCAAAGTATGCTGTTTCATGCTACAGGTCATACTCCCACGTGAAGAACAGCTGGAGTTCAGCAAAACAGAAGCAGCAACGACTAATATTTTTTCTAGAAAAGGTGAACTGTTGTGTTTGCTACTCTTTATTTTAATAAGGATTCAGTAACAAAAGAAAGTAGGCTCTACAGTTTATAAAAGTTGCTTTTGACCTTTGTTATCTTAAGTGTTACCTATCACTCTGCTAAAGAACTTGAGTCGCACCATGATAAAAACAAAACAGGCACTTTTTCCCATAGCGACATTAACATTTTTACAGGCATTTTTTATTTCATTAATATTTTTCTATTATTATATTTATCATTTAATTAGTAAAAAAGAAGAACAGAGGAGTAGTAGGAACAGTGAATGGCAAAATTTACTACTAGCATGCCAGAAGGGTCACAAATGGGTAATTCATGATAGGCAGGATTAGTAGGAAATGACATATAACAGGCAGACATTGGGATTATAAGAGATAGAAAACTTAGTACTTTTTATGAAAATCTTGTGTCCACCTAGATTAATTCTGGGACCCACCACTAGTTGAGAACATCTAGTTTAAAATACACACTGGCTGAAATCCAGTAGGAGAACTTGCATATAGTAAAGCTAATGACATAATCAACTGTCGTGGTTTTTCAGAAATTAAAACATGATGATTCTTAATCAACCTTTCCTCAGGCTTCCTGATTTTTTTCATGCGGGAATCTCTTAATATATGGCATTACAGTGGTGCCTCGCATAACGATTTTAACTGGTTCCAAAAAAAAGTTATGTGAAACATCGTTATGCGAAACACCATTTTCCATAGGAATGCATTGGAAACCGGTTAATCCGTTCCAATAGGCACGGATTGCTGTCCTTAAGCGAAAAAACCCATAGGAAACATCGTTAAACGATACAATGTTTCCTCCATTGGAATGTATTGAAGCTGACTCAATACATTTCAATGGCTTTGCGAAGTCAATTTTTGCAAAATTAAGTGTGTCATAAAAGGGTCAAAAATGGTTTTAAATGCTTGGATTAGCTTCTGCACCCTCTAAAACGGATGCAAAAGTTAATTTGGCTTTGATCTGACTTTTCGTTAATT